CTGTTCCCCCAAGGGACTGCTGGGAGGGGGGGTACTTTCTTATCTTTTGATGAGTAATCAAACACCACAACCACTGTGCCACCAGGCTTCCTTGTGAACTCTTTAATGGCTATGCTATTATGATATTGAAGATGGTGACTGGTATGGAGAGATATCTTCACACCCAAATACTCATTAGTATGAAACAAACTATAGTTATACTTTGTGGGTTTTTTTTTATGTGTATACAATGATTACTAGCAGCTATATTCTTAATTCCACAGACTTAAAAACAATTGTTGTCATGTGCCGTAGAGTCACATGCAACTCATAGCGACTCTGTGTACAGCCCTAAACCCTGCTCTATTCCGAGCCAACCTTATTGTCTCTGACACACCGACCCCCACCACTCCAGTCACTCTCATCTCATCAACCCATCTCGTCCAGGGTCTTCCTCTCTTAAAAACAATTAAGACTCTTCCGTCCTCCACAGGACTCAGTGTTATGGATGTGCATCCTGAGTTTATCTCACATGTGAGGACAAGAGTGGTGCTCTTCAGGGAGCAACCGGCAGTCAGACAGTAAGTGGGTAAATTGGCTCTGAAAACAAGGAGTTTTCTTTTTAAACTTGGCTCAAAGTTTTGAGGCTTGAGGAAGTATCAACTAGCTTGTTTTAAAAACACCACCACCACCATGATAATGCAGCTTCTATCCCTGTGAGAATCTAAAACCAGCCGTCAAACTTTGCTGTCACCAGCTGGCTAATACAATGTGATTTTGCTTGTTCACTTCTACCTGTCGCCACCACCACCACCATTTACAGTTGAGTCAGCTACAACTCAGAGTGATCCCGTGAGTGTCAGAGTAGAACCATGCTGCCTGAGATTTTTCAAGGACTGATTTTTGGGGGTGCAGTCTGCCAGGACTTTCTTTCAAGCTCCCTCTGGGCAAATATGAATCTCCAACTTCTCACTTAGCAGAGAAGTACATTAACCATTTATGCCACCCAGGACTCTCATCTCTACCTCAAAGGCTTCTATTTCTCTTTGCAGGATCAAACGCATACAGACCCAACTCCCTCACGTCCTCCGTGGTTAACCTGCTGTTACTCAGGTTCAGACATTTGTTGACAGCTTTTTTGCCCAGCTTCTGCAGGAAATGCTCATTTTTCTCTGATCTCGATTCCGCTTCCATTTCTGAGAAGAGAGTCTGAGGTTTAGCTGTATCATAATAAAAAAGGAAGAATTTGCTGTTAACAACAATATTAAAGATGCAAAATAAGATCATGAGAAGGGCTGAGTACCACTCCGAGTGGTTCTCGAATGAAACCTCACCTCCAAAGGGGAGATACTTACCAGGGTCACAATCACCACCCCCCCAGCCACCAGATGCTCAGGCTCTGATGGTTTCTAAGGACCCTTTTCCTTAAAGAAGTCAGAGGAACCAGAATTAAGCAGTTTTCCTGCAACAGCATAACAACTTGGGTTTTTTGTTGTTGCATACAGTCAAGTCAGAACCGACTCATAGCTGACCCTGCAGCAGATTTTCAGGGGGTGAAAATAGTACAGGAGGAGATTACACACCTTTTCTCATGGAGCAGCTGGTGAATTCAAACCACCTGCCTTTGGGTTGGCAGCACAACCTATTACCCACTAGGCCACCAGAGATCTCCTGTGACTTACAACAGCCCTATGGACAGCAGATCTGAACTGTGCCCTATCCAGTGCCATGCTCATAATCTGTCATAATCTTGCGGTATTCACTACGACAATTCACCTCATTAAGGGTTTTCCTCCCTCTTTCTGACTGTTTCCTTTTCCAGTATGATGTCTCTTTCCAAGGACTGATTCCTCCCAACACATGTCAGGAGTGAGACCAAGTTTCACCATTCTCATCTCTAAGGAAACTTCTGGTGGTTGCACCCCCTTCAAGACTTGTTTGTTCTCTTGGCAGTCCATAGACTATTCAGTACCTTTCTTCCACACCATAGTTGAAGGCATCGATTATTCTTCTGTTATTCTTAGTCATGGTCCAGTGTTTGGAGGCATAGGAAGAGCTTTAAACTGATCTCTTTCCTCACAAGCAAATCTCTTATTGGAGCATTTAACAGTCTTGTTACTTTACAATCATACAGATGCGTTTGATGAAAGAAGTGTTATGTCGAAGAAGCGCACAACTAAGAGGTACAGAAAGGGAAGGGGCAGCTGCACTGCAATCCCAGAGGAACACGGTTCGAATCCACCAGACGCTCTGCCGGAGAAGGAGGTGCAATATCCTCTTGTACCAGTCAGATCTGATTTGACGGTACACGCACACAAAATAAATAAAAAAGTAAATAAAAAGAAAAGAAAGGGAAGGGGTGATATCACAGCGATGAGCTTCAGAAAAGCCCTCCATCACGTTTCCAAGGCTATCAGTCCTAACAGGAGGAGAATGCCCATCTTTCTCCCGAATTGGAGCAGCTGCTGAGTTTAAACCTCTAGAAGGCCTTTGGGGTTGGAGCACAACTCCTTATGGAACACACCACCAGCACTTCCCGTAAATAAAAACTTTCAGTGATATTTTACTAGCTCTAACTGAAAGGAATAAAATCATTAGGCTGAAAAGAATTCCATTGGTAGCTGTGAAAAGGAAAATATAGTAAAGGTGCAGTAGTAATAAAATTAGACTGAAATCTTAGAAGATTAATAAAAACTCTAAAGGATAACAGAAGAAGGATTGAAGCCTCTGAGTGGTGGTGCTGGAGAAGAACATTCCATAGACAGCCAAGAGAACAAACTGTCCTAGAGAAGGTGAAACCAAATTTCTCCTTGACGGCAAGGCTTTTAAAACTCCAGCTCACGTACTTTGAGTATATTTTCACTAAGGAACAGTCCTTGGAGAAGGACATCACACTTGGAGGGGTGGAGGGACAGCCCAGGAGACAAAGATCCTGGATGAGATGGACTGATGTAGTAACTAGGATAATGGAATCAGGTGTGTTGGAGACAGACTGGCTTAGGTTAGGACAGAGTTCAGACCTATTGTGTATAGATAACATTGCTATGAGATGAAGGTGACTCAACAGCACGTAACAACTGTAACACCCATGGTGGTTAGTGGCTTGCTAGGTGAGTAAGGATGATAGAAAAAAGAACCGATGTCGTTGAGCTGTGGTGTTGGAGATGAGGACTTAATAATTGTGTAGACTTCCCAAAGAACAAACAAATCTGTCTTGGAAAATGTGCAACAAGGGTACTCCTTAGAAGCAAGGATGGTGAAACGTCATATGACCCCCTTAGGGCATGTTGTCAGGGGGACCAGTCCTTGGAAAACGACATCGTATTGGGAAGAGTGGAGGGACAGAGAGAGGCAGACCCTCTAGACAGATCAACACAGGGGCACAGCGACTGTAACAACAGGGCCAGCAGGTCGGAGATGGTGAGGATGGGGCAAGGTCCGTTTCTGTTGCTCACCATGTCACTGCGAGTTGAAGTCCACTTGAAGGCACATAGCAACAAGAAGATGAATTTTCTGATTTCACAGCTTTGTGAGGCTGCTTGATGTTGCCACACTCTACCAGTAGGAGGCAGCATCACCCATCATTTCACCACTTCTGTTTTTTTTGGTGGCACTTTGATGTCAAGTATTTATTTGGCATAGTTTTTGCTTTTATTTTAACCTGGCATCTGTGATGTTGATGAGACAGAGGAAACTGTGAGTGATTGGGGGGGGGGGGTGCTGCTTACCAGCCAAAGACTCCCGCTTACTGACCACAGGACACTTGTCTAAACTTAATGCAAAAGAAGCACAATTACCATTATTTTATAGACAGGGAAGCTGAAACTCAACGACCATCACTGACATATTTGTCCATAAATAACACTTGCTGTATACTTTTATTGTCAACCTTTTTTTTTTCTTTCTGGGAGCCTATTTTTGTTAATAAAGTTTTTTAATTGTAATTGTGATTTTTAAAAAGTTGACAGAAAAATTAAATTTTCATTCATTCATTGTTGCACATTTTAACCCCTCTCCCTCCCTTCCCCTTCCTCAAGTTGACTTTTTAAAATATTATTTTATACAAAATAAATATTAAATACAAAATTCAAATACGTTGTTTTCAAGAACAGATTCTTTCCATTTCCCTCACCAACCCCCCATCAAAATGTACAACCCCATGACTAATCTCCCCTCCCCCTGCACATCCTCATCCCTCTGCTTCCACCCTCCCCATGCCCCTTTGTGAGCCTTTTTTTAAAAAAAAATCACACTATACTAGTTTTCCCCCCTATTTTACAACAAGTCAAAAAGAAAAGGAAAAAAAAGTTGTTGGACTTACAAAAAGGGCCCCAAGAGATGGAAAGCAACCAAGAGACACACTAAGAAAAGTATATTTTGGGGGCGTGGAGAATTGTAGCAAATGTAGAGTCAGAATCTGAACTTAGTCTGGCTCCAAAATACATTGTATGTTTTTGTCTGTTTTATATTTTTTTATGAATGTCTTTGCGTGCATCTTGTAGCTGCCTCTTTTAGTCTTAAACTTATCTCCTTAGCTCTAACCTATAATCATGAAGTTCAGTCCCACTAAACCTTCTCTTTCTTCTGTAAGTCCAGTCCCACTAAACCTTCTCTTTCTTCTGTTTCTCCTCCTGTCCTGGTCCTCTCACTCATTTCCTGTATGGTTCACTGTTTTGGAAGAGTGGCTTGTCCTTGCCAGACCCAAGTACTCACCACCTGACTGATTAACCCTCTCCATTCTCCGGTAAGCTCAGGGGACCGAAGGACACACGCCTGTCTGACATTTCCACATCAACAGACGCTCTGGGGGACCAAGCTGTGGTGTCTACTCTTCTAATGTACAGCCTCGGAAACCCAGTGTAGGTTCGTCACTGTGACCTCAAACTGCTTCCACGGCAGCAAGTTTGGGTTTATATTTATTCTTGCCGCTTTCCTCAACACCCAACTAAATATCTTTTCAAAGGCCCCCTGGAAACAGATCAAAAAAATCTCTTTCTGGCCCACATCCTTCTCAGGTGCTCTTGTAATATTTAATACCATTAAATATTAGGTGCTCGTGTAATATTTAATACCAAGTATTAAATATTTGACCAGTGTGGAAGGAATCAGTACAGGACAGTCAGGAGAACTGACCCACGTCGTGGGTCCACCAGATACAGAAACGGCTTAACTTCTACAGCCTTCTTTACTCACCTATAAAACAGAGACTACATGATGGTGAGTCACGTTGCTATGAACAATGACGCTCATTAAAAAAAAAATCTCCATTTATGCCTCAGTTCTCATTTTCTCAAGGTATATTCCAAGCTGTGGAATAGCTGGGTTGTATGGAATTTCTATGTTCAGCTTTCTAAGAAAATGCCAAACTGCCTTCCAGAGTGGTTGTACCATTTTACAATCCCATCTACAGTGTTTAAGAGTTCCTATCTCACTACATCCTCTGCAACATTTATTACTTGCTGTCCTGTTAAATTTTGCAACTGCTACTGGAGTATCTCATTGTGACTTTGATTTGCATCTCTTATTGCTAGTGATTTTGAGCATTTCTTCATGTGGTTGTTGGCCATTTGAATATCTTCCTCTGTGAAAAGTCCATATCTTTTGCCCATTTTGTCATTGCATTATCAGTCTTTTTCTTGTGGAGGCCTTGTAGGATTCTATAAACTTTTGATATGAGACTTGTCTGAGATGGTGTTGCCAAACATTCTTTCCCAATCAGTAGGTTTTCCTTTCACTCTGTTGGAAAAAGTTTTTGATGTGCACAGGGATTTAATTTTTAAAAGGTCCTATTCACCAGTTTTATCCTCTCTAGATTGTGCATTTCTGGCTGTATGTGGCAGTCTCCTTATACTATAGATTTGACCATCTAAGCTTGATCCCAGTTTGTCTCTGATGAACTTTATGGTTTGGGGCTTTACTCCCAAGTCTCTGACCCACGTTGAGGAGACTGGTACACCAATGTTCATAGCAGCATTATTCACCATGGCAAGAACATGGAAACAGCCCAGATGTCTAACCACAATCAAATGGATTGAGAAATTATGGCACATTCACACGATGGAATACTACACAGCATGCAAAAGCAATGATTTTGTAAATCATTACCTAACCTGTGAGGGACAGGAGAGTATTATGCTAAGCGAACTCAGTAGCATAAGGACTAATACTGTGTAAGGCCATTGTCGTAGAAATAGATAACTGGAAAACTTGTCTGAGGATTAAAAAAAGTGAGGATGGAAGCACAAGGGGAGGATAGGTAGATTTGATGGGTGGAGGGAGTGGTGGGTCATTTCCTCCAAACCTCCTTCTACTTTTTCCTTTAAGTGAGAGGCAACACTGTGCCCTTTCACTTTAACCAGAAGCTCACAATCATTCTATGGTCTCTCATTCCTGTGTAGCCAAATCCTAAACATATTTTGACTTCCTTGCCTCCTCCTGGTTTTCTCTTCTCCTTTGGCTCATCTCCCACACGTCCTGCAATGGAGGTCTGGCTTCCTCTTTCTCTTCCTGAGTCATCCGTCTTTCACTGCTGTTGTTGTTGTTATGTGCCATCGAGTCGGTTGCAACTCATAGTGACCCTATA